TCCACCCAGCCACTCTCTGGTCCCACATCCTCAAAGGAACAGGGGGAAAAATAAGATGGAAAAGCTTGTGGGTCAAGGTAAAGACAGGGAAATCACTCAGCAATCACTGTCATGGGCAAAACAGACTTTATTCGGGGAAAATGAATTTCATTTATTGCCAATTAAAAGCAGAGCAGAATAATGAGAAACAAAGACAAAACTAAAACCACCTCTCTCCCCATGGTCCTTTTCTTCCCAGGCTAAACTTCACTCCTTCATTCCTGACTCCACTGCCTCTTCTTGCCCACCAAGCACTGCAGAGGGATGGAGAATTGGGATGTTGAGGTGAGTCCATAACAGCTCCCCTCTGTCACTCCTTCCCCCTCATGCTTCTCACCTGCTCCAGCATGAGATTTCACCTGAGGGACCTGATAAGGAGATCTGTGGGACCTGACAGGATGCATCCACAGGTCCTGAGAGAACCGATAGATGAAGTTACTAAGCCACAATATTTAAGATGTCATGGCAGTTTGGTGAAGATCCCACCAACTGGAAAAGGGGAACAGAATCCCCATTTTTAAAAAGGGGAAAAAGGAAGACCCATGGAATTACAGGCAAGTCAGCCTCACCTCTGTGCCCGGCAAGATCATGGAGCAGATCCTCCTGGAAACTATCCTAAGGAACATGGAAAATCAGGTGGCAAATGGTGACAGCCAGCACAGCTTCATTAAAGACAAATCATATCTGACAAATTTGGTGTCCTTTTACGATGGGGTTACAGCACTGGCAGGTACGAGAAAAGACCAATTATCTGTCTGGACCTATGCAAATCATTTGACACTGTACCGCACCACATCCTTGTCTCTAAATTGGAGAGACATGGATTTGACAGATGGACCATTCAATGGATAAGAACTCCAAGAGCTGTGGTCAATGGCCTAATGTCCAAGTGGTGGCCAGTGACGAGTGGCATTCCTCAGCGGTCAGTATTGGGATCAGTGCTGTTTAACATCTTTGTCAGCAACATGGACAGTGGGATTGAGTGCAACCTCTGCAAGTTTGCCAATGATACCAAGCTGTGTGGAGCAGTTCACATGCTGGAGGGAAGGGATGCCATTCAGAGGGAGTTGAACAGGCTTGGCAGGTGGGCCTGTGCAAACCTCATGATGTTCATCAAGGCCAAATCTTGCACCTGGGTTGAGGCAGTCCCAAGCACAAATACTCGAGGGACGGACCCTTCCTCAGCAGGGTCCCCGGGGCACGGGAACGGGGGCACCGGGGGGGCAGCGATGTGGGGGGGTGTCCAGGCGGCTGCGACCGCTGAGTCACGGGGAGCGACCGGCGCTGCCCCCGGGGGGGTTCCCCATCGCCCACGGGGGGGGGGCTCGCCCGGCGCTGGGGCAGCTCCCACCCCCCCGGGCCTGAGCCCTGACACAAGGAGCCTGCACCGGAAACCAGACGGTTGGTTGTTGGCTGGTTTTTTTTTTAAAAAAAAGGTTTCAATATAAGAGCATCTGCATCAGCAACCCCGCGGGAGGCGGAGAAGCTGCTGGGCACAGCGAGGGGCTGCAGCCTGCACCGACCCCCCAGCGAGGGGCTGCACCGGCCCCCCCAGCACACGGCTGCACCGTGCACCAACCTCCACCCCCGGGCTGTCACCATCACCCCCCCCCGGGGTGTCCCCACGTCCCCTCATCCCCCCAACTGCCCGTGTGCCCCCCCCAGGCTGTGCATGTGCCCCCCAGCCCGGGGCACTGGGGCTTTGGGAGCGTGGCCGGGGGGTGCGAGGTCCCAGCCCCCCCCCCCTGCAGCCTCAGAAACGTGGTCCCTACGAGTTCTGCAAAAAAAGGCATTTCCAGCTTCACCTCGAGAGATCACAGAGAGTGCAGGGCTGCTGTGTGTGCACACGCAGGCACACTCACTCCATGCTCCCCCCGCTGCCCCGAGCCCCGCTCCTCCGTGGGGCCAAGCCGTGTCCTGCCAGCACAGGGAGGAGCGGGGGCAGGGGGGCAGTGGGGGGGCTGCCCCCTCTCCGCACCCAGGGCACGGTGGGCGCCGGGTGGGAGCGCGTCTTCCTGGCTGCAGGAGAGGAGACACCGTCCCCTCTTCGGCCCTGGAGCATCCCCCGCCTTCCCGCTGCGCTGGGGACACCCAGGGGCTGTGGGGAACGGCCGGTCCCTTCTCTAGAAATGAGGTTTTTTTATTTCTTTGCTCAGAAAAATAAGATTCATTTAAAAAAAAAAAAAAAAGTTTAAAAAGAGGGAATGACGAAAGTAGAGGCTGGAATGTGGCTGGCAGTGGGGTCTGTACATGAGATGGTGCGGGACGGCGCTGGATGACGCCCCGCTCAGTAGCTCTCCTCCTCCTCACGGTAGTAGTGGTACCCGGGGGGGTCCCCGCTCTGGTCGCAGGCGGCATTGGCCACCTCGCCCTGGCTGCCCTGCGGGCAGTACTTGGGGTCGTAGATCTGGCGGCCCAAGCCGAAGACCTGCCCGCTCTGGTTGGCGCCCTGGTTGGAGCCCATCTGCAGCGACATGGAGGAGTTGTCGCACTTCTCTGTCCCCGTCTTGGCATCGTAGATGTGTCTCCTGGTGCCGGGAGCCGTCATGCCCACCTGGAAGGACAGGATGGAGCAGGGCTCGGCCGCGTTCCCCCCGCACGGTCCCTCCCCGCCGTGGCCGCGGTGGCTCACCTGGCTGGCACACTTGTTGGTGCCCATCTGGAGGCTGATGGTGGAGTGGTCCATGGGCGGCAGGATCTGGTTCTTGGGGTCGTAGAGGTGCCTCCTGGTGCCATAGGCTGTCATGCCGGACTGGCTGGCACACTTGTTTGTGCCCATCTGACAAGGGTGTCTGGTGAGATGAGTACTGCCCCCTTCTCCTCCCTCCCCATCCCTCTGTGGCCCAGGGGGACACAGTTAGTGCCCCCCAACCCAGCCCAGCTGGACGCTCTACTGGCCATTGAGTGCTGGACACGGAGCTGAGATGGTCCCAGATCACAAGGACATTTTGGGACATTTCCGGACATTTCCAGCCTCAGGTCCCCCAGGTGTGCTTGGAGCAGTGACAGTGGGTGACCCCCTCGCCCAGCACCCCACCCCTCGGGGGGGACAGCCCACCTGCAGCCCAATCACACACTGCCCAGCCTTCATCTTGGCCTCGTCAAAGTTCCTCTGCTGCTTCTCCGAGTACTTCACACCGATGTCCACTCCGCTCTGAATCCCCTTCGTCTTGGCCTGCCGGGGAGGGGCGGTGAGAAAGGATGAGGGTCCCCGACCTCCCCCTGGGCAGGGGGACCCCAGCTGGTCCCCGTGGGGCCGTGGCCCCTCCCAAGCAGCCACAGCATCTCCCGACACTGGTCCCCGGGCACTCACCATGCCCGCCAGCGCCAGCAGTGACACCTGCACCTGCGTCAGGTTCCCGCTCTCAAAGAGGTCGTTGGCTTCGAAGAGGTCCACGGGGTTCATGCCGTAGCTGGCCATGGCCTTGATGAAGTTGGAGAGGTTCTCGAGCTGGGGGCGGGGGGAGAGGGGTGAGACCCGGCGGGAGGCAGCAGAGGGGCCGGGATGGTGCCGGGGTGCCATCAGGGCTGCCCGCTCCTACCTGGTGCCAGTTCTGAGCCGAGCGGTTGATCTTCCTCACCGAGTTGGGCTGCAGCTTGTTCATGAGCCTGGGGGGAGGCAGGGGGGAGCGGGGGCTGCGGGGAGGCAGAGACCCCCGGCGGCAGCAGGACACGGGCCCCGTTTGGGAAGGTCCAGCCCAGGTCTCCCCCTCAAGCATGAGGTGATTCCCTCCCCCAGGTCCCTGCTGGCCCCCGGGGCTCCCCCCAGACACGGGCACTTTGGGGGTGACTCCAGGGAAGCAGCGCCACAGAGAAAACCTCTGGTGGGTCCCACCGGCGCGGAGGTGGCCAGATCCAGCCCACCCTTCCCACCCCAAGGGCTGGTGGGGGTCCCTACGGGGCCGGTCTCCCCCGTGCCCATCCGAGCGGGGCGGGGGCTGCGGGGGCACCACGGGACTCACTCGCAGAGGATCACCCCGTCCTTCAGCCCCTTCTGGAAATCGGGCCCGATCTGCTGCCCCGTGACGCTCTCGATCCATGTCCGCAGCTCGGCCTCCTTCTGCGGGTCGTACTTCTGGGCCAGCTGGGAGGGGACAGCGAG